GTATTCTTAGTAGTATCTACATTAGTATATTACTCAGTATATGAATGTAGATTAGTATCAGTTGACTGGCTGATGCAACCAGTCGTTAAAATATATTCTAAAATTACTAGCTCTATATTGATGGCATGGCTCGAGCTATAGAGAGATTTACATTTCAGAACCTTGGATCTCACACAAACCAGTTAGTCAATGACTTGTACTTTTCTTCTATGGGGCATTTCCAACGCATCTTTTTATGCAGGTATCGTTTTCCCTACCTTTCGTAGGTCAGAATCGCTACAACTGGTTCTTCAGACGTACTGTGGTCACTCCTCCTTACATGGAGCAGGGTACCCAGATTGCTGAGTGATTGATCCAGACAGCCATCTTCATTTATTCCAGTAGCTTTCAAAGTAAGGCCTCCAGACCAAGAGTTTCTTCCCACTTGGGGGCTGTCGGACATGGGACATCTCAGGCCTGCAGAGTCAGAGACTCTGGGGTGGGGCCTTAACCCTGGGAAGGGCCTGGCTATCTATTTGAGCAAGTAAATTCTCTGGGTGGGTCTGATGCCTACTTAACGGAGATGGTACTGGTAAGCACTTGAGAATCAAAGAGGAGTCTGTCTCCAAGGCAGGCAGATCCCAGAGAAAACTGTGCCTGTAAAGAGATAATGAATCTGGAGATAGCCTCCTTCTGCATCCTACTACCAAAAATAGTCCTCCACTTCAATAGGTCTGGTCTGGCACCTGTCTCATCACTCCTATAATGGGTGAGCACAAATGCCATGACACATGACTCAGTATGTGCTCTGGCTCTGCAGAATCTGCTTCCAAAGAAGAACACAGGACATCAGAACATGAGATGGGACCCTTCCTTGAGTAACAGAGGCTGTAGGGACTGTAGGGGGAGATTTCAGGGTGACCTTGTAAATATGAACTTCAGTCCTTTAGTATGTCTTGTTGGTGCCCCCCTCCTGCTCTGGGCTCCATTCCCCCTCCTATACCACACCATAGGCTCTTCAAGTTTTTCCTATGCAAGAAAGAGGTGAAAAGTCTTATGATGCTGCATGTAAATGATAGTGGCCTCATACTGCCTCCTTTCCTAGGATAAAGGGAGCAAGAAATAGCATGCCAGTCATAAGCTGCGCTTCCTGAGGAGTCATTTCAAATGCATCAACTCCTGACATAGAAGCATAGTCCTGAGTTGGCCCTTCTTGCCCATTAGTAGCCACCTCTATGCTAAAAACAAAATGTAAATTCCATCCGTGGCTTATACTTCCCTCTCAAATCTTAAGAGATAGGAAAGGGAACACACATCCCTGCTTACTGCTCATTCCTCAGGTGAATGACCATATCTGACTCACATCTAACTATTCTTCCTTGGTTTTCTTTCTGTAACGCTCTCATTTCCACTCCAGTCCAGTTGCTCACCAAACGTGACTAAGGGAAGAAGCCTGTGAGATCTGGACCGATGTATCGACTTCTCCATCAACTTTCATCCCTCCCCCATCACAAATTATCTAATTTTTAAAACTGAACTGAGGCAGATGTGTGTTTACTTTGAGAAGTAAAAATGTTAACATTTAAACTGAAAGCCTGTTTCAGGTTTAAGGTACTTAATTGCCTTACAGCATATAATAAACGAAGTCCATCTTGTCATTCAACTAATGGAGGGAGTGATGAAAAGATAGGAACCCGGGACCCGTTCCTTCCAGTGTGCCTTTGTACTTGGTTTACTTTGGCACTGTGCCTCGTGTGTATTTTACACTTCTTTACATTTTGTACATCCCTGTATGACAAATACTTGTCAAACAAAAACTAAACAGATTTATAACCCCTTAACTTGAAATGAGCCAAAATTGAACTGCCAAAACTTTATGACTTCATTTTCTTTCATAGTTTTCCACTGCATTGGTTCAAACAGACAAACCCCACTTGAGGTCAAGCAGAGGTCATTTCACTTTCATTACTAAAATATAATTTACAATATGCCAGACCTAAACAAGTTTAGCCTAAAGGGTTTGTCTAATATAAACCATCTGTTCTTCCACAATACAGCTAATTTCCTGCCACCTCCATGCAGTCTACTGACGGCTTCTTTTAAGGGGTTGTATGATTTTTTTTTAACTAGTTTAGGATTTATGTAAAATTTGAAAATGAGTCTGTAGTTAAGACTCATTTGTACCAAGTAACTTGAGCATTTTTTAAATGTAAATCACTGTGTAAATGGCTCCCCTGAAACCAAGCTTGGAGCCTGTGTTTCTGGGTGTTTCTGGGCTAGCTGCTGCACAGGTGTTCAAAGGGCAGGGCCTCTGAATTCTGCCATTTTAGGTCTACTCATTTCCAGAGCAAATTCCCAAATTTGGTTGAGGGGACTCTTGTAAACTTCTCCTTCCTTGTATAGGTTGGAGAAGATACTTAGCTGTGTGATTTATAGCCATTGGTGAGATATGACAAGACACAAATGGGTCAAAATGTAGCCTTTTTTATGTCTGAACAGGGTGAAAAAACATTATACTGCCCCTGAGTACCCTGCTTCTGGACAGCCTCTGAGCCCTGAGAGGTAAAGAGCCTCTACAGCCATTGCTCTACCAGGCCTTGCTGGCTAGAACTTCAAACAGAGTGGTGTGCCTGAGGCAACAGGTCTCACAGGTGTGCTTAGAGTTCTTTGGCTTTCCTGCACATTCCCCATTCTGTCTTTAAGCCTCTTTCTCCATCTGCGAAATGATGAAAAGTACGAGTTCCTGTAAAGGTGAATGTGAGAAAAGTAATTTGCTTCCCTCAGAGGAGGGGAGCGGAGCCAGTTCCAGCAACTTGGAGCCATATGGCCTGCTCACCCCTTTTCTTCCCAGGAGCCTGGCCTGTCTGTGTCCCCTTCCTACCTGATCTCTTCCTGCACTCTAATTTTCCAGAAAAAGGAGCAGGCTGTGGGCTTCTCACCTGCCTGAGGACTCCAAATTCTGCGGCATTTTAAAAGAATGTTTTAAAAAAGAGACTAAACAACTGTAATAGAACCAAAAAAGACTAACAAAAGAAACTAAAAAGACATTCTTTTTTTCTTTTTGTCTTTTTGAGACAGGATCTCCCTGTAGCCCCAGCTGTCCTGGAACTCACTATGTAGACCAGGCTGGCCTTGAACTCAGAGAGATTCACCTGCCTCTGCCTCCCAAGTGCTGGGATTAAAGGCGTTTGCCACCATGCCTGGCTATAAAACTAAAAAGACATTTAAAAAAATTAAATAAAGGGAGCTGGGCTTGGTGGCACAGAGACAACTGAATCTGTGGGTTAGAAACCAGCCTGGTCTACATAAATAAATAAACAAACAAATTAAATAAATAAATAAGGGATTATACAGGACTCTGGAACTGCTTAAAGCTGTACACGGAACCAAATCATTTGCAAAATTTAATCCACTTTCTGGATTCATAGAAGTTAAGAAACTCAAAATCATCAAGTCATCCACAGGAATTACCCTGCAAGCTTATGTTAAGTGAATTAATATTTGCTAAGTGTTGTGCAGGTATTAGTAGGAGACAGAAGATCCAGAACATAAACCCAGATTTGTTTGAGTTCAAACTCATTGATTTGAGTTGCCCCTTCCTGCCAAGTAGTACAGGAGCAGAGAGTGCTCGGGTTCTAAGTCTGGTATTCTATTGCTTTTTCCTAATTCCTGTTTTTTTCCAAAAGAAATTTTCGAACTCAGTTCCTTGCCCTTTTCTATCATCAAACCTTTTGGGAATCCTGTTCCGATTAAAAAGTAAGTCACACTGTACTGTTCAAGGGGCTAGGACAGCATCGGATTCATTAGGATCATTAGCAAACATTATGGAAATCCTTATCCTAACATGGCAGGAAGGATTCATCTTGGGTTACTCTTACCAGCAAAAGTAAAACATCCACATGCTATGAGAAAAATGTAGAGTCAGTTTAACTGATTACCTTTCTCGCTGCCACACCTTGCTCCCCCACAAGCATCCACACCCTGGGGCAGAGGGTGTAACATGGTGGTAGAGCATGTGCTTAGTATGCATGGGCCTCTGGGTTCAATCTCCAGTGCCAAAAAGAAGAAAAATAATCAATATAGACTGTGTAAGCCAAACAGTGAATAGGCCTAGAACTGCAGGAAATTCCTGGTTAGTCAGATGTAAAGACTGACCTATGTTCTTAGTTTTAATTACTCTGCTTTTTAAAATTGGCAATAGTTTTACCTAGTCCCCAAATTTAAGATTATAAAAAAGCATGACATGAAAAATCTCTACCTCTGCCCCTTCTCTTTCTATTTCCCACTTCCATACTCCCTAATAACCTCTGGTGTTTCCTCAGTTCCTTTTCATAAGTCTCCTAAATTTCTTTATCCATGTGCAAGGAAACATGCATAGAGTCATTATACTTCTCCTTCATACAAAGGTTGATTATGGCATTAACCGTTTTGCTTTTGATGCTGAACAGAGCAGTAGGGTTTAAGAGACTTTTTCATGTCACTACAAAAAAAGTTCCTTATTCTTTTCCACAACGATAGACTATTGTATCTACATGTGCCACAACACCTAGCTTCTTCCATGGTTTTGAAATTCAGTCCCCTCTAGGGAGATATTTGGGTCATTTCAGTACCATAATGAATAGGACTAGAGGAATAAGCTTTGATCTGAAAATCAAAAGAAGCACCTTACTACCTTCAACACAAGTATTCAGCTACTTATAGATCCCTTTTGGCGTGCTCCACCTCTCCTTTCAGATGCCAAGATAGCCTGCCTTAAGATATGGGGTGGTGGGATCGCTCAGCAGTTAAGAGCACTGACTGCTCTTGCAGAGGACTCAGATTTGGTTCCCAGCACCCACATGACAGCTAACAACTGTCCATAACATCCGTTCCAGTGGATCTGATGCCCTCTTCTGGCCTGGCTGGCATTGCATAACATGGGTGCACTTACACATATGCAGGCAAAACAAACACACATAATAAAAATAAATTAAAATTTTAAAAATAAAAAAAAATTAACCCACATTTTCCCTTTTGTGCAGAGCAAGGCTAAGGAGCTGCCTCTTTCTGCTGTGCGCTTTATGGAAGAACTGGGTGAATGTACCTTTGGGAAAATCTACAAGGGCCATCTCTACCTCCCAGGCATGGACCATGCACAGCTGGTTGCTATCAAGACCTTGAAAGACTATAACAATCCCCAGCAGTGGACAGAGTTTCAACAGGAAGCCTCACTGATGGCTGAACTACACCACCCCAATATTGTCTGCCTGCTGGGTGCTGTCACCCAGGAACAGCCTGTGTGTATGCTGTTTGAGTATATGAACCAGGGGGATCTCCACGAGTTCCTCATCATGCGATCCCCACATTCTGACGTTGGCTGTAGCAGTGATGAAGATGGGACTGTAAAATCCAGCCTGGACCATGGAGATTTTCTGCACATCGCAATTCAGATTGCAGCTGGCATGGAATACCTGTCTAGTCACTTCTTTGTGCACAAGGACCTTGCTGCTCGCAATATTTTAATTGGAGAACAGCTGCATGTAAAGATATCAGACCTGGGGCTTTCCAGAGAAATTTACTCTGCTGATTACTACAGGGTGCAGAGTAAGTCCTCGCTGCCCATTCGCTGGATGCCCCCTGAAGCCATCATGTACGGCAAATTCTCCTCTGATTCTGATATCTGGTCTTTTGGGGTTGTGTTGTGGGAGATTTTCAGTTTTGGACTCCAGCCGTATTATGGATTTAGTAACCAGGAAGTGATAGAGATGGTGCGGAAACGGCAGCTGTTACCGTGTTCTGAAGACTGCCCGCCCCGGATGTACAGCCTCATGACAGAGTGCTGGAATGAGATTCCTTCCAGGAGACCTCGCTTCAAAGATATCCATGTCCGGCTTCGGTCCTGGGAGGGGCTCTCAAGTCACACCAGCTCTACTACTCCCTCAGGCGGAAATGCCACCACGCAGACCACCTCCCTCAGTGCCAGCCCCGTGAGTAACCTCAGCAACCCCCGATTTCCCAATTACATGTTCCCGAGCCAGGGAATTACACCACAGGGCCAGATCGCTGGTTTCATTGGCCCAGCGATACCTCAGAATCAGCGCTTCATCCCCATCAACGGATACCCAATACCTCCTGGATACGCAGCCTTTCCGGCTGCCCACTACCAGCCTGCAGGTCCTCCCAGGGTGATTCAGCACTGCCCACCTCCCAAAAGTCGCTCCCCAAGCAGCGCCAGTGGGTCGACCAGTACTGGCCATGTAACCAGCTTGCCCTCATCAGGATCCAACCAAGAAGCAAATATTCCTTTGCTACCGCACATGTCAATCCCAAATCACCCTAGTGGAATGGGTATCACCGTTTTTGGCAACAAATCTCAAAAACCCTACAAAATAGACTCAAAGCAACCATCTTTGCTTGGAGACTCCAATATTCATGGACACACAGAATCTATGATTTCTGCAGAACTGTAAAATGTGTCTCTTGTAAATACAATATACAGGACAAAGTAGAAAGTGGTAGAAAAGATTTATATTCAAATGTTTTTATTGAAGTAAGGCTCTCATTTAGCAGACATTGCAATAAGTATCTTCTGTGAAGTTTAACTGTGTCTTACAGGACAGACACTAGCCAGGAAAAAAAAAAAAAAAGCCAACAAGGCATTGTGGGATTTACAGTCCTCACATCCTCATGATGCAGGACATGGTGTTGGGACTGGAACAGATGGTTTCATGTCCTGAAAACTGCAAAACCCATGAAGAAGAAAAGAACCTTGTGATTAATTAAATAGCAAACCAAAAAGAAAGTCAAACGGCTGTATGTGTTTGCCTTCAGTCACCATGACTGGTCTTGCCCCAAAATGTATAGACTGTAACATTTGTCTACCTGCTGTCTCTGCTTCAGGGCATATGTTCAGGAATTAGACTGATCCAGTTTAGACTCTATGCATGTTTGAATGGAAGTGGTGTTCACAATCAATGAGGGACCTTTAGGCCAAATTTTAAATATCAGATGAAAATAAGCCATACATAAAGACACATGTCACATCCCCTAAAGCCCACTGAGTAGCAGGGCTTCCCTTGGGAAGGTTAGACTATCCCTTTGTGACCCTCCTCTTCTGATCATGAAGGCCTTTTCCATAGTTCCCCTTTCTGCCGTGTGTTTACACAAGCCCTTGAAAGCACACGGGCCATAGATATTTTAAAAAGCTAGGTGTGGGTGCTGGAACTGACTGTTGATTAAAAAGTTGGGTTGTTGCATTAGAAATGGGGCACCAAAGAAGGCACTGTTGGGAAACTGGTCCCTCAGCCAAGACCAGTGTCCATGGGAGAGGAACAGTGGTTGGTTCCCATTCTGTTGTGACAACCTCATTAAGAGCTTCCCTGGACCAGGAACATGCAAAGCAGGTGTGGCTAAGGCAAGCACATTCATGCCTTGAAGCCAGTTTACAAGTTGCCCCAGGTCTCAGGATGATTTACCATCAATGGACTGTAGGCAAGAGGAAAACCCTGTGATAATAGCTGGTAAATTTAAAGTCTCTCACTTTTCTTTTTCTTTCTTTTTGTTTTCCTGGGAATGTTCACAGATTTTATTCTAGCACTAAGAATTATAGCAATTTATTCACAGAGCTAGTTGGACTCCAAAGACAATTTCTGTTTTGCAAAGCGTTATAGGATTTCCAAAAACAAACACAGTTCTTATTTCAGAGATTATAAAGAACTGAATTCTTCAACTTGGCAAACAAGCAGCATGATCGTTTTTGCCTTCGTTAGAGTGTGGTATCAAGTGTGCCTCTCCTGGCATTTACCTGTCAACCACCTTCTTACCAAGTATAGAATTCTTATGGGATTCAAGGTCTATATAGGAAGGAATTTTATATTTGAGTTTTCTCTTGTTAAAAAAATAACTCCTTTATTCTAAAAACAATGTCTACAAGTCTTGTTTTTATTTTAGAGCTATAAGAGATTTACAGACTTACAGGATATAAAGTAAATCCTGGAAATATCTCATGGGGGGAATGTAAGAGAAAAAGAAAGACCTTGATGTTTCTGCTTTTAAGAATATAATTATCATAGGAAATCTGTCTACCAAAATGTACGGCAATTTTCCCAAACCCAAGTCTTCAAGCAATAAACATGAACTTATAGGTACTGTGAATTCAAAGAGTTGGCTATATTCAGATTTGCTGGGAAATGAATTAAGACCTATTTTGTGGCATGGATAAGCTGATTCTGATGTAACATTTCTTAACATTAAGTAGAGGAGAATATTTGTATCCTTTTGTTGCTATGCAACTGTTTAATGATGAAGCTTCAAACCACAATTTTGTATATCATATGACAATCAATTGTTTTCCAAGAATATTTATTTTGAGTAAACACAATTTCAGTGGATCTAAGTCTTTTGAGAAGTCCCTTAAAGGGAGATTAGCATTCCATGAGCCAGTAAAATACCTTCTCTGGAAAGTCATTCTTATGGTTAAAAAAATAAATTCAACCTAGTTTTTATAAATAACTATAACATATATTTTTAAGCCTTTTATAATAACTGAAATCATTAAGGTGAGCAAACTAAATTTTAAAACCACTTGTTATAATGTATTTTAAAACAATGCTGCAGTGCTACAGCATACAGTCTCTTTTGTATTAAATGGTACTTTTTTCACAAGCTAAAAAAATATCTTTTGCCTTGTTAACAATGTTTTGTAAGATGACTTTATTTTCAGGTTTTTTTTCTCTTTGCACAAAACTGTTTATGGTTTGTATCACAGAAGTGAAAATATATCTCTGCATTTTTATATCTGGTCTGTTTCCTTATTTTCTTTGTTTGCTTGTTTTTAAATCAATATAGAGTTTCTGCAAATATATAATAGCAATAACAAGATGTCTCACCTTACCATATCTGTCCTTATTTTCACTGCATGCATTTAATCACTGTATTACTTGATGTTTGATTGTTATTATGGGCATTCCAAATAGAAAAAAGTGTGGACTTGTAATGACCAAAAAGACTATTTTCTATTGAGGATATATGCATTTGTATTTCACACACCAGAGATGATATTAAACACTGATTATTTTATGCTGCTGTTTATTAAAATGTTTACTATAAAATATGTCCTGAATATTACTGTCACAGAAGTATTTGGGAAATTTAATATTATTTCTCTTAATAACTGACATTTTTTACAAAGAGGAATCACAATTCCTAATTTAGTCTTACTTCAAATATTTTTTTTTTTTTGGTCTTTTTGAGACAGGGTCTCCCTGTAGCCCCAGCTGTCCTGGAACTCACTATGTAGACCAGGCTGGCCTTGAACTCACAGAGATCCGCCTGCCTCTGCCTCCCGAGTGCTGGGGTTAAAGGCATGCGCCACCACACCGGGCACTCCAAATATTTTTTAAAGTAGACTTTTTTTTTTAGTAGAGTTGGGGGCTGGGACTGTAGCTGAGTGGTAGAACACGGGCCTAGCATGCATTATTCCCTAGGTTCAATCCCCACTACTACAAAGTAAAGCTGATCTTGGTATTCTTTTGCTAGTGACTATAGGTAGAAGGTAGAATCTCAGAGGTTTTGTAGCCAAATACTATCTCCCGATAGATGGCAAGCTTTGGACTTTCAAAATCAAAATAATACATGTATTTGTATTTACAATGGAATGTAAAAACTTGGAAATAGGACTAAAGTTGCAGTATTTTCTGCCTTGATGTTTCCATATGAACTTATAAAACTCATGTTTTAAGACTCTAAAGAAGAACAAGCTGTGTACATCGTGTCATGTCCACATTGATAGAATAAATGTGGCCATTTAATTATCACAGCTTATCTTTATGACCTTATTTGCCCAAAAGAAAGAGCTCCCCATCTGGAGATCAATACGCACTGTCAAGGAAAATGAGTATCATCATGAAAGTTCAAAGGACTTGTCCATTTCTGCTGTTTAATACAGAAGGGAGCACAAGAAAACCTTCAGGGCCTTCTCCATCTGTTTTAGGTACAACCCCTGTTTCAACCATCAAACTCAATAAAGGAACCACGTCCCACGGCAGTAAGTAAGGTCTGTGTGCCTTGGGTTTTTCCCTCTCACTTGAATGCCTGGATCTGCCCTTCACTCCCACTTCTGTCTCTCCAGGCTCCTGTTCCCATCCCTTCAACTCTAAGTCCCTTGATTCTCGTAATTCCCTAATCACTAACATTCTCAGGCTCCCTGCACCAAGCTCCCATAATTGCCTGCTATGAGGCAACAGATGCTCACTCAGAAGAGTTCTGCCCTCTACTTACCTTCAAGGATGATGACCTATCTTGGTGCTCAAAGTGGGGTTCCAGAATCAGACACCAGCAGCACCCAAGAACTTGTTAGAAATGCAAATTATCAAGTCCTTGTGTCAAATACTAAACCTACATTTCTAGGAGTAGGAATCATCAATTTGGAATTTTAAGAAACTTCCAGGTGTTTCCAATAGATTCTGAAGACAAGGAACTACAGAATTCAAAGAAATGAGTGGAGATGGGTGGCCTTTACCTCTTCAGTAATGCAGTATACACATATCATTCTAGCCACTTTATTCCTCTTAAAGAGCACCTAGTCAACTGAAACCCAAGCACTAAAACTGAACCATTTGATAATCAGTTGTATTTTTCCAAGGCTGGGACTGTAACTCAGTTGATAATGCATTTACCTAGAATGCAAGGTCACCAACACTACCACCCCCCCCCCAAAAAGCTATATTTTTCTGTAGTTGGATAAAAAATTAACAACACGGCTGACAAGATGGCTTAGCAGGTAAAGGGCCTTGCCCAGCAAACCTGACAACCTGAGTTTGATCCCTGGAATCCATGTAAAGGTGGAGAAAATTTATCGCTCACCTTCGTATGTGTGCTATGTCATACATACACATAGCACACACACAGTAATTAAAAATTAAAAATAAATAAATGAAATGAGCAGTACAGACTAAGATTATAGGTTAGTGGTAGGGCTTGCCATTATAGTTTAGGAGGCCCCAGGAAGGAAAGAGGAAGGAAGGAAGAAAGGGATCATGATCAGAGAAGCTATTTTCTTGGTACACCTTTTTGGGTTTCTAGACTGATAACAAAGAAAAACAAAAACAAAAACAAAAACAAACAGAGAAAAAACCTCCCCTCACTGCTGAACCTTAACAGAGATCCCTAAAGACAGGAAATCTCTATAGGGCAAGGCCAGCCCCTAGTCCACATCATGCTGGAAGTACAGACACCCCCTCTCCCCTGCTGTGCTTCCTGTGAACCTCGTCCAGTAGGGGGAGGTGATCCCCTACATCAGGTGCAGTCCATTAGGGTTGGGCAAGCTGGGAGCAGTCACCTGTGCAGGCCAGGCTCCGAAGGTATACAGGGCCTGTAACTCAGAGAGAAGACAGCATGGCGGGTCCTGTGGTGAGAGGATGAAGTTCATATTCTTCTTAATTTATAGAGCAGTGTTTTCAGCCCACAGCTCAAATTCTAAAATAGCAGCAGATTCGAGGAACCTAAGGAGCAAGCAGCACTCGTAAGGGGTTTTGAAGGCTGAATCAGACTGCACCTGAAGTTTGTTACCATAAATTCCTAGAGTATTGGGACACTGCTCACTCAGGAGAGAACCTTATAAACCATCAAGGCACTCAAGGCCAAGGTAATCCTCTGGGAAATTAGGCTTCAAAACATGGAGACATCCAGGAAGAAGGACTGCTGACACATTTATGACTAGTTAATCTTTTTAAAAATTATTTATTTAATAACCATATAATTAGGAGAAGCATTTCAAGACAACAGCATTGACATATTCAATAACAATTTCCATAGCTAAGAGGCATCTGTTTCAAAATTGGCTGTACATTTTTAGGTTTACATATGAATTATTACGCTTATATGATCTTTAACTCATTATAAACTCTATAAGACATAAAATTAAATGAGGTTCCAACGTTTAAAAAAGATCTCCACTTCG